AACTGCTGCTTTCGAATAATGCTGTCAAGCAAAAAGACTCAAACAATCCCGAATTTGAGAAAAAATAACTTTGTTCTAAACTCGAAATATGATTGATATCTTATGGTAACTCACCTTCGATATTCAGGAAAAAGAGTAAAAGACTTGACTTGTGATGAAGAAACAAAAAATGGAGTGCGAAATGTGGCGATAACTGTTCAGTGCATTAGTCGTTTTGACCATCTTTATTTTTTGTTTGAAATAGCTAACATTTTGGTTGCATAAATTCCGTTAGAATTCTTAAACCTCTCTGAACACGGTGAAGCAGTACAAAAAGTTCGTCTGTCTCTAATAGATATATAGTTAAATCTACTTGAACTGATACTCAAGCTGGATAGATGAGTCCACACATATTCAGATCAGTTCATCAGAACATTACTAAAGAAATTAACACTGCTTGACACATGTAAACCAATCAAAAATTAGCAAAAGAAAGCAAGTATTACCAGAGAGATTAGCATTGGGTAAGGACAAAGATTCACTTCAAACTTTATGATTGAACAGATTCGCATCATAGAATTTAAAGTATTAACTAGCTGTTGACTTGAGTTGTGATCTCCATTTTTTAGCACGTTTGTAAAAGTTGCATATTTTGTGATCCAAAATTCAAGATGTAGTTCATGATTCATTTCATACTGATACACATTAAAATGATGCCATAATTATCAATGTTACTTTGATAAGAGCTTTTCATATACAATGCCTTAACCACTTTAGCAAGTTTAGCATCTTCGAACCATTGCCAAATTACATAATTTCATTGCATTCAAAGCCATGTCTATATTTTTTTTGCTTGCAAAATTAGTGCGTGCTAATGGTACAAATGGCTAAAAGCTACGATTCCGAAGCTGTTAATTTGGATATAATTCCTTTCAAACTTACTTCGTGAATCAATATTCATTTATTTCAGTGACCAATACAGACAATTAATATCAACTCCGAAAAATTAAATAATAGTATAACAGATCATGCTGATTTCACAAAAAACGAAGTCCAAAAATGTGAAAGCTTTTCGTGAGAAATAAGACTAAAAGTGTTTGACCCAATACTTAGCTCTATCTTTTGACCTGAAAAGAAACTGTGAACTGACTAGTACTTACGTAGATCACATGCTGCATTATCACAATACACTCAACAGTATTTGTGGCTTAGAACTGCTAGTAATAAATTGAATAATGATAAGACTAAAAAGTTGTCTAGATTAAAGTAAATAAGAAATCATCCACTTTCCCAAACACCTAAACGAATTTAGACGAAAAAGAATCTAATGCATAAGCATATTATGGAACTACTTAGCCTATAAAAGGGGATTACTTTTAGTTCCATAATACAAACACTCACTAGAGTAATTACGATCTCCGATGAATCTGGAATGCAGCTGAGTACGTAACTAAAATAGAGTCAATATTTAAGAAATGGAGACCGTTGGATCAATGAATCTGATGCTTGCATTCACTAAAGTAGTCCGCATCTTTTTGTGATTTTTGAAACTATAATTTCAATATTTTTAAGTGCGTTGAATCAATTTGCGACTGCATTTGTATGTTATGCAGTTATGATGTAGACAGTTCCTACACTTCCTCAATGACCAAACACATTACATAGAAAAATAACAAGGAAATACTACTAATAAAAAATGCTCTGCCTCACTTTTTTCCATACTTTTACTTGCTTATATTTAAGAATTCTTTCATTTATCTATTATCTTTGCAATTCAGCAATGCAGATAACACAAATGAAACGATCTCGACCAAAAGAATTGACATCACATAAAATGACAATTCTTGCATGACGAACCAAGAAAAGGCATATGATTAAAGATAACAGATATCACATCATATAGTTTGGAAACCGTAATTGCGAAAGAGAACACTTATTCAAACTAAAAAGCTAACATGACTCACTCAATGAATATTCTTTCAATACATATAATAATACACACTATACAACTGAGACAACAACTAATAACATTTCACCTTAATATGGTTCTTTTAGGCGATTCTGCAACACGAAACTGTGCCTCTTCAATAACTGTTAATAAATGTTCCGCATCAAGTTCGTCAAGAAGAAGTAAAACAGCTGACAAAATTCGTTCCATTCGCTTTTTCTGTAATGCCTGGTTTTTCAAGCACCTGACATATTAAAATTTCAATTTCAGTTTCTAAACTCACGAATTTTAATTCTTCTGATTTCAACTGTGCTTATATGTATAAAAACCTTCCAAATGAATTTTAATGAAAACGAAACACTACTTTCTCTCCAATTATTTGCCTCTGTGAATCAACAGATCCAGCACTATTAGATTCGTCGTATTCTGGTAATTCCTCACCCTCAGTTCCTGAAGGATACTGCACTGGTTCTAACATTTCTCCCTGCAAAATACTGAAATAACTGAAACTATTTTAAAAAACAGAGTTATAAGCAAGACAAAAAGCAGCAATAAAGTCACGAAGATAAAAATTTTAATGAAGGCGCGAAGTAATACCAATCAGAAAAATAACTTTAAATATCTCACATCACCTGTTTCATGATCACTCTATTTCTCAACACTTGTCGCATCACCTCGTTTTCCTCTCGTTCGTATGCGCGAGTTTCTCGCTGACTGGTTAATAAAGCAATTTCATCATAAGGTACTGGTTCACATTCGACATGATGTTCAGGTGCTTTATCACCAATTAATTCACCATCATAAACCATAATGGAAGCTTGTGCTCCTGCCCCATGTTTCCGTTTCGCTTTTAAACATCGATTGCATCGGTAATATTCTTTACGTCCATCTACAGAACTTTTCATATATGCATATTGACGAATTTCCTTTGTTTTATCATCCATTACAGCCAGCAATGAGGCATTATAACGACTGGAGAGATTACGTTGAATTATTGTGTAACCATGCAGGACGCCCATTTTCTTCCTTAAAATAAACCATAACGAGTCATAAAGAGTATATATGAATAAGCTAAGTATTTTCACAATAACTAACTAAATTTATGAATAAAAAATAAAACATTCATACTTTCTTTCCTGTTCTTCGTTTGTTTCTGCACTGCGGTTCTGCAATTAAAATAAGTGTTTTCAAATTAATAATAATTTTAGAAACATTGTATGCAAGGGAAAATCACGCAAAATAGGAAATATGCTTGAGAATTTAGAGATTAAATACTCACTATATGCCGCAAACGCCGTGAAAGTGTAGGAGCAGAGATTTCGAGTCCCAGTTGTTCTTTTACAAGTCGGCACACTTCACTAAGGGACTTAATCTCACCATTTAGATATTTCAATAATAATCCATCATAAATGAGTCTGGAACAACACAAGTAAAAGTGAAAACTGTTCAATATCTATGTCTGTCCCTGAAAATTAACAACTTTTAAAATCGACCTTACAAAATTAATTTACTTTTGTTCCTGCGATCCAAAAATGAATCCATGTCCGTCTTCCAAAAACGACTCGGAATAATTATTGCGCGGGTTGCTGCAAACTTTTTAACACAAAGTTATTTAAAATTATAGACTACGAGTAAAAATGAATCGCTTAAGAACTTCATTATGCACTCCTACTTAAAATTTCAGTATCCCTTTCCAGTCAAAACAGATCAGTACTTCTGATTCATTCTGAAAAGAGAATGATTTTTTTCAAAATTTTTGCTTGTGTGCATTGTCATCATTTAATTAAAAATACAACAGTTATCCATTTTTGACGGGTATTAATTTCTTTTTATTTGAATACGCTAAATTAGTTTGGCATAAGGATCACAACTTTTGATTTTCAACTAAAATTTTGGTTTCCATTCATGATTTCGATACTATAAGACAGAAGAAATTAAAACAAATTCAAAGTATATGCATAAAAGTCGTTTTGACATTAAACTACTGATTAAAGATGAAAAGTTTGAGACTGACCTTTGTTCGTCATCTTCGACGTTTACTTCTGATACAACTGATTCTTCATCTTCTCTTCGAGACTTTGAACTGTGGATCATACTTAACTACTAGACGCTCAATTCTCAAAGCTACAAAGTTTGATAAGTATCAGGAATAAATCTTTTATCATTCCTGGCAAAATATTATGAATGTAAAGAAATAAGCTTTATTTTAAATATTCAAATGCTCCAAGATAGAAACGAGTGGAAAGACAAAGCTCTGCGAAAAAGAATGAGGGAAGCTAAATGAGAATTATAATAATTCAAATATCAGTATGACCATGTGTGACATTTATATGCAACTGATTATTTTTTGTGAAAACAAAAGTGATTACTTCTAAAGAGTTTTGGTAACGTCGACAAAAAGAACTGAGATTATATGAAAACAACAACAGTGAACTAACCAACATAAACAACCTGGATAAATCGCACCAAAGTAAATCTGTGCATACTAACACGAAACGATTTTCAAATGCTTCATACTGAAAACATATTAGCATTGTAAGACTCTGAAAATCTAGTACAGCTTAACATACCTTTAGAATGACCACAAAAAATGTATAAATCATTATTATTCCCAGCTATCTGAAGTATTAACTAACTACTGCTGTGTAAGTCAGCGTGAGAAAAACTAGTGCCTTGATTATGTGATATATATTTGCTACTTTGAGTCTCACTCGTGTAAAGTAAATTCATCTAGCAAAGGCTACTTCAAAAAGTGCGAAGTTATTTTTTATTTTATTGAGGTATTCACCGATTCCACAACTGTACTTTGCAACAGCAGAACAGTTACTAGCGCCACAACTCAGGCAATATTACAATTTCAGATTCAATCACAACACTCAATATTCAATTAGATAAATCGCAGAATAACCTTTGCCCTCGTGCAATTTCAGCTTAAATAATTAATAATTTAAAAAAATAAAAACAGGACGATTTAAAAAGCTAAATGCTACGTTCTTGCATAGTTAAAAAGGAATTACAATTGAGTTGTCTTAATGAGTGTTCGGTGCAATACTTAGTTAAAAAGACAAAGGTCAATTAATGCAATCACTGCAAAGAGTGAGTGCAGCAGTAGCAGATGAGAGAGAGAAAGAGAGAGAGGGGCGAAGAATGAAAAGGAATAATGATGCATAAGTGCGGCTGGTCAAGGTTTTGATTGAACGAAAAACAATAGTGCCACAATGTAGCACTGACTTCTATGCACATGCATCTCCCTCTTTCTCTTCCCTCTCTTCATGTTATTTCTCCCTCATTTTTCCATCTTTCTGTCTTATATCCATTTTGTTATCTCTATCTCCCTTTTTTCTCACTCGCCATCCACATCCTTTTCGTTGCTTTGTTGCTCTCCTTTTCTCCTCTCCCTTTCTTTCTCCCTTTTTCTCACCCTCTCTTTTCTTTTCGTTCTCTTTCTCAATTGCGACTTGATTTGTTGTAAAATCACAAGCATACTTGTAGTCCACAAAAATTAGTCAGTCAGTCAGTCAGTCACTCACTCACTCACTCACTCTTCCTCTCACATAAAAGGCGCTTAGTCCATTTTCGGCTTTTCGAAGAGTAACAGTTCAGTTCTGTTGGATTCTGCTCGTGTCAGTGCATCTACTGGTCGAGCAAGACGAATCAACCACAATTATTGCAAAAAGATAAATTATAGTTTGAAATAGTGAAAAGTAGTTTTCCCATTGTAATGACAAATTTTTTCCAAATTTCTCACAGAATACTGTATTTTTTCTTTAAAATTTTTATCCACTTCAGTAGCACTGAAATTCACGCAGACACTTGGAAGGTATTCAATTTAGTGTCAGAAAATCCGTCGAGCAGATTGTGCCAAATCCATTTGTGCAGAGCGTAAATGCTCTCAAATCAAAGAGTACACGTAACTGACGCTTGCGTGCTAATTACATTTCTAACAGTTTGAAACTTTCTATTACAAACTATTTGACAGCTATGATTGTCATTTCATGTGCATTGCGTAAAGAATCCCCTACATCTTTGACTTCGGAGGGAATTCGAAATAAGCACTTAACTTTGTAACTACAAAGTATTTAAATACTAGAAAGAAAATGACTTTTTGCAGTAGCTTATTCAAAAAATGTTTCGAAAAATTTTCAAGAAGCTGAGAAAAAATAATTATTACTTGTCATCACAATAAAATTCTGTGATGCAAAAAATTACCAATGGTAATTATTTTAATCACTTGATATTAAAAGAATCAATACTGAAAGTAATATCTCTATACTGAGTTTTGAAGCAAAAGATGTTTCATAAATCAAACCAAATTTCGATCATCTGATAAACATTCCTACAAATGTTTCTAAAATGTTTAATCACAAAACTGAATTTTAATGCTAATGTTATATGCAAAGTTTGGCAAATATTTGCACTCCAAACATGGCATTTCTTTATAAGCCTAATGATTTTACTAGTTATGATTTCTTGCCTTAAATATCACTATGTCATCATTTGTACGATGCTGTTTGTTTTCGACATAATTGAAACAATTTTTCTGTGTGTTCTGTTTATATGGCAGAATCCAGTACTTATCACTCAAAAATATTATGTTTTTGTGATCGGACTGAGTAATCTGAATACAAAATGCCGTAATCAGTAGCGTGAAAAAATATCTGAATAGATTTTTTGCTTTCATTGACAAGACAGATTTTGAATTTGCGCAAATGCATAACTGTATTATCAAACTGGTATCACTTGCCTTAGAACTGAACGCAGTAATACTGGTTTTCATGTAATTTCAGTATCGATGTTCTTAAATCATTTAATTAAAATAATTATGATTTTTGGTTCAGAGAAATCTTTGACTGAGTGGTAAAAGAAGAAGTAAAGAAATTTTTGATTATGAAGGAAACGCAACCAGCAGTTCATGAAGCAGTGATAAGCAACAGAAGAAATAAATGATAAGCAGTTACTAACTGATAATAACAAAAGCGAGAATCATGTCTCTATCGTATCACTAATTTCAGTAAATATTTACCCATTTAACCGCTTAAAATCAGTCTTTTATTTCTCTTTAAATAACTGTCATCTAATTATTAAATTTTCGCTTCAATAAAGAAGTAATTTTGTCCCCAATTAATATATTTTGCTCTAAATCATCTTGTTTTGTTATTTTTAACTCTTAAAAGTTTGCTTAAACAGAAAAAATTAAATGAACAGCAAATTACCGTAAAATAACTGTAGTAGAAGTTAAACAGAACTCCTTGACCTACATTAATTTTAGCAGTTGACTTTCCTGATTTTGTTGATTTACTTTACTTATAAACATATATTAGTTTATCATTATTATTCAACGTACTCATTTAGTTTATTCACTTGCCTGATTAATTTTTCTTTTATCAATCCTTCATTGCATAAACCCTGCTAATCTTTTCAATCACTCAGTCTACTAAAGTTTGTCAGCAAGAACTTCCAGATCTTCAAGCAATTTGCTAATTTTTTAAAATCATTAATTTTTGAAAAGGTTGAATGCTATCATTATTTATGACAGTAATAAAGTTTTGTCGTGAACTGGTGTTACAATTTTTTTTTAATATTAACGAAATTAATCTAACTAAAGCTGTCAATGTCAACACCTCCACACTTTATTATTATTATCAGTTATTGAAATTTCAAAACACTTTGAAAATGTATAACTTTAAAGATATTCTCTCTTGACATATATAGAAGTGGTATTATTATTACTATTTCAAGTCGGAATTTGGTAGGAGTTGGAATCAGTGATGCCTGATTCCTTGGTTGATGACAATGATACCATATTAAAAGGAATTGACAAATTTATCGGTTTCAATCGTTACACTTTATTTTTGTGCCTTGCATTTGAACTTGTCATTCTTTCACAAGCTGGCAATGTAATTTATTTGATATTTGCTGGTAAGCTGTTTTAATAATTATTATAATCTTATCAGTTGTTGAACTGAACCGAAATAAATGATGACAAAGTGTGTTCTCTGAAGCATGAAAAATCAGACTTGAAAATTTTTCAGTTTTTGTAACTACAAACTTTCAACAGAATAAAATACTAAGAAAATGAATCAGTACAAAGTAAAATCATACAGCTGTGAGCATGTATGAGAAGTTAAAAAAGAGTGGCACAAAAAAGATGATTGAAAATTTAAATATAAGTAATAATTTCCATAATTTTTCACCGCAAAAAGTAAAAATTACAGCTGCGTCACCGAATTTAATCGGATGTGGCACAACGATATTTAACGAAACTTTGAGCCAATATGAAGCATGCGAACAATTTGAAACTATGAATCGACTGGAAAATCAATCTTGCGCACCGATTCTCGAATATCAATTTCGGTCTGTTGCTGTTGAGGTAAATTTTTTTCTATAACTGCTTTGGTAAAGTCATCTCGCTAGTGTTTCATTTCAATTATGCTCTCAAATTAATGATTAGATTTAGTTTTAATAGTTACAGACTAATCGTTCTGTTCATCATTTTGTATTCGGACAATTGTTTTTCAATTTTTTAATGAAAATCTTTAGCTGTAAAAGTAAACTACAAGTTAGCAACACATAATTACATTTCCTGTTATAAGTCCATTGCATCACATTACTGTAAAAAATTCATTCTTAAAAATTATCTCAAATAACTTTTAAATGAAATGATCTTATTTCCATATAACACTCTACAATTTCTATAATTAACCTTCAAAACACTACAAATTACTGCTAAGTTTTTTGACAATTTTTACAATATTCAAAAAAATAACTTGTGAATGAAAAAGTAAGAAATGAAATTGTGATAGTAGTTTTATTTGCAGTGGAATTATTTCTGTAGTAAAACAGTCAAAGTGAAAAATTCGATTTCATTTCAAATGTTTGGAATTATGGTTGGAGGCATTATTTTCGGGCAGTTATCAGATTTGTATGGTCGTAAAAAGGTATGCACGGAATTCAGTAAGCATGTGATCATTATCACGATAAATAGTACTATTGCATAGAATAATGAATAGGCAAAGACAGTGACAGTGCTTGCTTTTATTCCAATTGGAAAACTGTGGCAATACTTGGCATCATGGCAGAAGATGACAATATTAATTAACTGGCAAAAAGCAGACTTAAAACATAAAAAGTTAGGGCCTCAGGGTCAAAAATCAAGTTCATTTTATTAAGTACAGCTGCCAAATTTTAATCTAAAATATGAATAAATTTCGCACTTAATAAAAATAATTTTTTAGTTAAGGATATACAAATTCATTCAATTAATAATTTTAATCATTTGAATTTTTTTTTGATTTCATACTTTTATATCAAATTAAAATTACTTTTTATGGTTTACTATCAGAATAATTGCATCTATCTCACCTTTTGACTCATAAAATAGTTGCTACTCTTTTCTCCAATATTTTTGCAAAAGAATTTGTAATAATTGAAATTTTCATCTAAAAAATTTAAAACATAAGTTTTACAGCTCGCTAATTTATTTTGATTTCCTAACTAAATCCTTTACCTATATTTGAGTTTACCTAACTGAATCCAAATCATCACTGAGCTTAAAATCATGATTTTTTTATTTCAGTACCGTTTCAGACAGTACTAGTTTGTCTGCTGATGACAATCCTACTTGGGCTACTGTGTGCCCTTGCTAAAGATCTTCTCATGTTTGTCATCATCCGAAGTGTTATCGGCATTTTTATAGGCGGCAATGCAGTGTTATTTTTTAAACTCATTTTAAATTAAAAACAAGAATTTTAGAACTCATTGAATGATTTTATTAAACTTAGTTATAAAAAATTAGTCTGATCCGTCATTTACTGTTTGCTGTAAAAAGTGACTACAGAAAATGTTGATCACTGATTTTAAGTGACACTTCAAGTTTTAGTTCCATCACAATTATTACAACGAGGTGCGTTAAAATTAACTTGCAGAGTAATGTATGTGTATGTGATAGAAAAAATTCCTGCAAATTATCGGATGAAAGTCAATACTTTTGTCACCTGGTCGCCTAATTTTGTAATACTTTCCTTGGTTGCATATTTAACGGGTTCATGGCATACTCTTACAATTGTTATGAATTTACTTGCTGCTCCATCATTTGTATGCGTGCTGTAAGTCAATTCCCGTACTTCTTAAATAACTTGAGCTTTTTTGGCAAAAAATCAATATACTTTTAAAAATTTGTTGCCAAATGTGATCATGTTTATCCAAATGGTAGCTAGATGTTTCAGATTAGAATTCAATCAAATTCACTAGCATATCTGATTTTGATTAAATAACGATATTTTGTAAGATAAAATATTGATTTTTTATCAATATTTTATAAAAATTGATGAATTTTCAGCAAAAGATACTTAAAGACTATGATATTTGAAGTGGTAATATGATAAGAATGAGAAATTTGCATAAACTGTTTTCAGATTCCTCTATGAAAGTCCGCGGTGGTTAATGCAAAAGGGGCGATTAGATGAAGCAAAAGAAACACTGATAGCGATGAATGATTGGGGTCAAAGTATAAAAAAAAGAGAAAAGTGTTTCAGTGAAGAAGAAGTGATGAATGCTCTCGGATTCGATTTGAAAGTGAGCAGTTACAATCAACGACTATTTTGAAGATTGAGTCCCAAAAGTTTAAAATTCGCAAGTTTTCAAGAGTAATTAAAAATGTCAATTGAAATAACTCATATGTAAATGCTTTAGTGACAGCATTGGGTTGATGAAAAAATACTTTGAAAAATTACTAAGCAGATTTTGCTTTGAAAATTTCAGATTCTGTAGATTTGAGAACGTTTCTTAGCACATAACCATACGATATCAATAAGTGATTCACTAATATGCTTCCGACTTAAGAAAACAATTAAATTAGCATTAACAGAAGCCAAGTTTGAAATTTTATTTTACTCTTGTCATGTTTTACACATGTTATAAGCTATCAGTGTAAATGGGAAGTATAATTAGTTATGTATTAGCTTGTATTAGATTTTCAGCCACAATTTCGAGTAGTAAATTTTAAAGCTTGAATTCAGTTATATTTACGAAATGAATACAATTCTTTAATCTGAAATAATACAAAAAAATTCAAACGCACTCAGTTCCATTACTTCCACCTAATTAAAAATAGTTCACATATAAGGCAAGTTGTGTAGAGAATATAACTTTCAATGCTTTAACTGTTCTAATTCTGAAATGTTCTATTTCTGCTTCAACTGTTCTGATTCTAAAATCAATATTTGCTCGTGTTATTTCCATTTCATTCTTCTAAAAAATTTAGATTAAGGATTATTTGCCTTATTATTCTTCTACCTAGGCTAGCTGCGAGTTACTACGACAGAAACATTACTATTTCCATCATTTGTTTTATTCATGGACTTTTCTGCGTTACAATATTATCCTTGCATTCAGCTGGTAAGATATTGGCGTTTTTGAAATGAACAATTGTAAAATATGTTTACATTCATCTCAATCACCCTAATTATTCCATCTTTTACAAATTCAGAAAAAGAGGAAAAAGTCAATTGAAATAATAATTATTTCGTTAGTGAAAACAAGAATGATAATTTTCTTGCATAATTATTGCAATTTTGCTCATTGCAAGAGCTCTAAAAGTTTTCCATTTTAAATTTTTCATTATTTCGTTCTGAATTTTAATTTGTTGAAATTGTATATTTTTAGCTTCGCAAATTCCGTTGCTTTCTACGCAATGCTTTTCAATCTCGAGAAAATTTCTGGATCACTCTACGTCAACACTGCCTTTTTAGGAGCATTCCGTTATGCACTCGGTATTATACTAGCAACAGTTGATCACGCATTCACTTTTGTCGGTCGTAAATTTATGCATACAATAGCAATTATTATTTTTGTCATAAGCGCTGCTATTATTCTGATACTTATCAAAACTGGTAAGTATATTTTTTAAATTTCTGAGTTATTAATATCAAATCAATCATGAAATTTTGCTTAGAATAACCTATTTTAGTGGTAAATCAACAAAAAGTTACATTTGAGCTTTATTTCCACCTTTACACAATACAGAAAGCTAACAATTTTATTTTGCTGCAGATAAATTATTTTTGGATTTAAAAGTTGCATACTTGAGAAATTGTTAGATGTTATCAGAAAGTAAAAAAAAGAATACAAATTATGTTTGTTGAGTTAGAAGTGCTTTTGCTTGACTTTCGATTACTGTGATTTTGTAATGTTGGCTCAATCTACGGTATTGCAATTGGTTTATTCACTTTTTCTAAGTGCAAAAAGATTCCATTTAAATCTGTTTGAGAGTAACACAAATCTTTCCATTTACTGCCTGTAAGTTTCATTCAGCTCCATTCATATTAGATTTGTGGTCAGTTTTGATATTAAAAAAACACACATACGAACCCTAAAATGGTCTCAATATGTTTTAGATCTGGCATTGGAATTTAACGGATTTATTCGAGCAATTACTTTAATCGGCACGGGATCGATCTCTTTATTATTTATTGTTAATGCTATTACATGTGCCGAACTTTTTCCCACAGCTATTCGAAACTTGGCAGGTGCCAATATCGGCACATGGAGCCGTATTGGTAACATTGTTGCGCCACAACTTTTTTATTTGGTTCGAATTCTCATTCTAATTTAATCACTCATTATTTTTTCTAAAATTTGTATTGTTTGACACATTCTGAAAAAATTTACCAAACTTCATACAACCTAATGAAAATTGATAGCACAATAACATTGAATTATTAAATTAAGACATGATCTTTGTTTGGTGCTCTTAAGATACCATACAAATGTCAATTAAAATGATTCAAAATTTATTATTTCTTTTTGCATTTCATCAGCAAAAAGATGAAATTGTAAAAGTTATTCTCGGAAGGTTTTTGAGAATTCAAACTTATGCGTTGACTGCTTACTGAAATTAATCAAAAAATTATGAAACTTAGTTTTCAGATATTCATGTTCAAATCAAATATTGCTATTAAAATTTTGAAATTTTATTTCCATCTTGATACTAGCAAAAACATTTGAAACCGAAAAAGATAGTACTAAGTTATCATAGGATCATGAAACGTTTAGTTTTAGTGAACTGCACGTTTTCTTTGCAGTCATAAATTGCAAGGCCACAAATTTCTATTAAAATACGCATTTTTAGCTTTAAAAGAAATAAGAACACATTTGATAATTAATTCATGTTGCAATTGAGGATGAATTCGATCCATCGCTGCCATATCTAGTAATCATCGTAATGTTTGTTGTCGACGGTGTAACATTTTTGTTTTGTCTACCAGAAACGAAATCCCGACCGCTTGTTGAACAAATGCCATCTAAAGAGGAATTCATTTTGCGCAGCTGTAAAACAACTCGCACCCTAAGTTTACGAATAGATGATGATATCGAAGATAGTTGTTTGAAGTCGAACAAATCGACTGACATGCGATAAACTTAATTGTTTGCAAATAAAATTTTGATAAAAATAGTTAAACAATACAGTTGCTACTTTAATACAACAATAAATGGCTGTAATTAGAGACAGTCATAAAAAGGGTAAGCATCAGTCCTTGTAATAATCATAATTGTAAATGACGTAATGTAATTGAAGTCATCGAAGCGTAATATTTACACATTTTTAATATTGTATGATTTAAGATATGTAATTATACTTCGAGATGAACTTTTTTGAACAGTTCAATCTCAGTGTATTTATCAGTGAGCAAACAGAAACTAAGTCTTTCCTCCCTTGATTCTCGAAGTTATTTGTCATCTTTCAACTGCTATCTTTTGGCACTCAGTAATTTTCCAAATTTTTCCGTTTTTTGATTCATGGAAACATTCAAATGCACGTAGAATTTTTCAATACAAATTTGTCAGCACTTTTTATATGTACTATACGTTTCATTACATGAAATAAACTGAAAAATGAGTTACTATATTCCAGATATTTTTTAGTACAAAATTAATTGACTGTATTGGAATTTTATTTTTAAAATCTTTGAATATATGACTAATTGAATTTTCAAAACTGGGAAAGTGAAAAATAATTGCAATAAAATGGTAGATTTATCATTTTTCACAACTAATTACAACCCTTAAAGATTGAAAAAATGAAAAGAATAACCGTAAGAAAATGTAAACTAAGAAATAATTATGTTTAGGTCAAAGCTGTAAGAATATCTTCAAAAAAAGAACATTTAACCATTAACTTCTTTATTTTAAAATAAAAAACAGGAAGGGTAATGATTGACCATTTCTCTGAGAAAAAATCCGCTCGTTTAAGAGTATCTCAGATGTTCCCTTGCAATTCTTTACTTTTTATCTAAACTGCTATAACAATCTATCTCCCTTCACGCTGACACTGTATCATTTTTGCCAGAAATGGAAGTGATAAGTTTGATACATTTCTCTGAATACTGTTGTCATTTTGCGTGTTTCTCTACTAACGGTTTATCTATTGAGCTATTGCCTGCTAATTCGCAAAAACTTTAGTCACAGGAGAAAGCACGGAATTCCAATCAACGAAGGCTAGCAATGAATGCAATGCAATAATATGTAAGGTTAGCTTTCAATTTTTGTACAAATTAGATAATTTTCTTTATTTACTAAAATTGCTTTCGGTTTTCAAATGTGTCTATTTCTGAAAAATTCAATTTTGAGGTCGCAATTGAATGGAATAAAAATGGAGAATTCGAGATTCATATGGATGGAACTATATAGAAAGAAGAATTGGATGATCAACGATGACAATGAATGAGTATCTGTAGACCAATTTCTGGTGAACATAAGTCGAATAATTTATAAAGGTAAGTTGATAAATGGTCTTATTATGATGATATAAATTCTATTACTTCATGTCATCATAACCGTTGTATTATCACTTATAAAGTTACAGCATCATTTATGATATCAATATCGCTATAAATTTATTATTGGCAAAAATGACGACATGAAAAAGCTAATATTTTTCAAAGTTATTAAGCCTTTTATAATAACGGTGTGAAGCTTATGGACACATAAAAAACTATATTTAAATTTCATACTTGTATGTTCAAATGGCTTCAGTTTTCAACAAATGAATTGGATTCGTGGAAGGTGAAGTACTAGAAGATAAACATAGGAGCTATGTAGCATCATTGTAAGTTATCAATCTCAAATTTTATCATTAAATTTCCAGTGAATACGGTTTTTTCATTTTTGAAGTGTTATGTATTTGATTTTTAATTATATCGTCATTTTTTTTCAATAACTTGAGCACAAGTCTTCACTAAAAATATTATCGAATAAATAAAATGTGGAGGTTAGTTGTAATTTTCACTTTATTGGTTCTGGCGCTGGGCCACATTCCTGTACTCTGGCAGTACTTGTCCCACGCTCAGATTTGTAAAAATATTATTATATCAATTATTTTTATATAATTTTTACAGTATTATTGAAGATAGCGAAAACCGAATTACATAATGCAATTACTTTTTGCGTGCGATTTTTGTGCGCATTTCATTCTCTGCTTGAAGCCAATTTATTTGAAACACTGCAGACACCAATACGTTTGTAAATAAAAGTATGACAGATACAGCACTCTCTATGCTGACTTAGTACATAACGTGAAAGCAAAGAAATCATTTCTGGAAAAATATCATCAGATGCTATTCACGTGAGTTGACTATTTCTATTTCTTTATAAAAATTCTTTTTACGTGCTTAATTTTGCAATGTCGCAGTTTTAATTTTTGCAAATCTTTTTTCATCTTTTTAATCAAATTATATCATCGCAACATTTAACATGATGCTTCTCATCCTTTTTCATTACTAAAAAACGCAATTGCTTTCATGAAATATCAAAGAATTATTGAGCCATACCATATTCAGGTTATGATATAAATCACTATCTCAATTACATCGTAGTGAATGGTTCCAAATTCATAACTTTTATAAATATATGATAGATGTTTTAATTGCATATATCAGTCGTTTTTTCGAATCTTAGCAGTATTTAGTTACTTGCATTTGATTCTTTGATTTCTCAGTTTTTTTGATTAGCATTAATTCAACTCTTACTTGGTTAGCAGATAGAAATAATGGATGACATCCAAGGATCGGATAGAAATAATGGACCATAACGATAATACTGATGCAACGCTATGTTGTAGCAATGCTGAAGGATGAAGAACAAGGAGAAAAAGCAGAGAAGAGCATAGGATAAACAAAGAGGAAAAAAATAGTACTCAAAAAGTTGGAATACTATGCTAAAAGTCTGACAAAAAAATGGAGGATATAAACGGAAAAAAAACTGCATCTGGGATTTTGATAGAAAAAAAATCGGAAAACAAGTAAGTGAAGCTGTAAAGTAAAGTCCCATGAGAAATTTGAATGAGCAATTCCGTAATGCCCTGTGTGCCAGTCACTTATGCTTGCAAGAATGGTCCTTAGAGAAGCCAGCGAAGCGTGTAAAGAGACATGACACTTTGAGCGAAATACGTTACACGAGTTGATCTAGACGAGAAGCAGAAATATCTGGTTCTGATGCACTAACCCAAGGATTCAGATAAGGCGGAAGGCAAAAATTAATTTCGAAGAATACTGATTCACTAACACTTCGAGCAGTTAACCAAGCACTCTGCGTAAATGTGTTACATGAGATTTTCTCCAGTCAGTGACTGATATTTCCAGGCAGCTACAAAGAACAGTGCTAATAGGAGACAACAAGGCGAGGGAAGAAGCTATGGTTGTCTGCCTTGATGAAATTCTTGCCATTTACAGCAGTATTGGCTAGTCGTTCAATTTTGTCTAAAATCTGCCCTCGTATAAACTACAGTCTTTCTTAGGTCAGTGCACTAATCCTGTCTCCCACCATTCCAAAGTATTTATAACATCGAATTCCCTCCACAGCAACGATTTATGGGCGCACACCTCGGCATTTAGTGGCTGACTTTGCTGGATTTGCTTCTAACACTACTATTTCTTAGAACCCGAGGACTTCTTCGGTCATAGATTTCTTGATATTCTCATCAATTGTAAAAAACTTGCGATCATTCACAAACATTAGATGGTGTCATTATCTGTATCCCTTGATCGGGAACTGCCACCTGTGGGTATCTCGTATTGAACTGACAGCCTGAACAGGTCCATGCACAAAGAAAATAGCAGCGGAGAAAGCTGTCACCTTGGAAATTTCTTCACCTTATTTTCTTCTCCAGTACGATTTTTCCATTGTTTTTCAGTACAACTTCCCATATGAAGCTGCTTTTCAGGAACCTGCTACTCTACGCTGATATGTAGAACCTTTCAATGCACATAATCAGGTAATTGTGATGGACTGAATCCAGTGCTTTTTAATATCATACCACGTAGTATTTAATTGGTTTCCATTCTCTTTGCAAACCGCCAGGTTCAACAGTGTCTGCTCTTTTGCACTTTGAACCTGCATAACAGCTCTCAATTAATTGCCTGCTAGCGGTCTCTTCGTTGCAACATTGAAGTGCATATTACACGCGCTACCAATTTCGTTGTTAAAGTGTAGTGATTCGATATACAAGTTATTAGCCTGGAGTTGCATCTTTACTTGAGACACCTTTTGAAATCATGTAAAATTTGTAGAATCTGTTCCCTACATTCCATATATCTTGACACGTTAACTGACTTCCTGTAGAGTGCTTGTGCGAGCATGGTACTGATTGTGACCTCAAAATTCGTTTGCTTCTTCAGTTCACGGAGGCTAATCGCACACACGGACTCCTCGCAATGCTAATCGCCAAAGGGCCATTCTCTTGAACTAGTCACAACTGCTTCCAGCACTAGGCCTCGCCAGCTATTCTGCGAGTCACTTATCAGTTCATCAGTGCTCGAACTGTATGAACTGATGAGTGCTTCTAGTTATATTTGTTATGAATGGCAATGTTATTGCTATTACTACTTCCAAAAATTGCTGCATTTCACAGAATCTGTGCTGTTAGACTAGAAAAAATTATTTCGGCTCCACCCAGATACGATTGCATAATTTAATGGTCATAAAGAATGGCATTAGAAAGCGTACGATTCAGTAAATCATGAGTATCTGATTAAGTGCATTGAAAGACTTTACAAACTAAAGTGGATTAGCAGATTCATGAGAAGCATAACATTCAAGATGGTAAATTTTTTAAAAAACAGGGGATAAACTTTAAAATATGATCCAACCGATCAGGTAATGAATATAACGAAACCACCTACTTTTTGTGAAGCTTCTTGCAGTCGATGAGAATATCATGAAATCTATAGCTTAAAAAGGTGGTATGGTTAAAAGTGAATTCGGAAAATACTGCTTCTAACAACGAAGTATGTGGTAATAAGGTGGAACTTTGTAAGAAATATGGTCCGAAAGCATTCCAGTGCATGTAAAGCTATTCTGTTTTAGAGTTCGCCGCGAATGAGAACGTTGAGATCAGAGTCGATATGCTATAAAGAGATACAGCTATATAAAGATAAGTGCGGATTGATCGAATACCATGATACACGATAAGAACCGACGCGATGTAATCCTAATTGAGGTTGGCATCAGTAGACAGGACAGGTTGACAACAGTCGAGACCGAGAAAAATGCAAATGTGACTTACTCGCTAATAATAAACTTGGATCAGAGATGAAATGCAGGACCAAAATAACTCCGTACGTGATGATTTGGGATGGCATTGTAACGAACTTTCACAAACGCTACGCAAAGGATATCAGTATATCTGACCACATCAAGCCATATATCCAGTGGATATATGGCTTGATGTGGTCAGATATACTGATATCAAAAGTGCTCAAAAAGATACTCGAAAGCATCTCATTCGATGATCACTATGGATTTCACGAGGATGGTGAAAAAAGATCAGCACAAAAATTTTGAGTATGTGACAAGCAGGGTACCGAATATGATCCAGAGTTAGAATCAGTAATGAAGAAAAGAATAACCTCCGTGTGATATTGATTGATCATACATATATATAAGCATCAAGTATATCTATTTTATATCTAGATAAGCCTTAGACTCGTGTAACATGTTTTGATCGAAGTACGTGTCCTGTGTTTTGACACGCCTCGTTGACTCCGCTAAATATCGTTTCTGTGAGCACGGACGACCTGCAATACTCATAATAACAGAATTCACCTACTTTTTCAGTCCTTTGAGGGTAATTGTATTCAAAAACATCTAGCTATACAGAGAACGACACAAGGGCCATCGCATTCTTCAAAACGGTCAAACACCACTTTCAGCACTTCTGCCTACCTGCTTGTGTAATTTCAATTCCACGTATGAGTGTTTTGAGCGTGATCATTCTGCTAGCACCCGATTCCTATACATTGGCATAGCGCTCTCTTATATCTTTTGTAAAGCTTTTTCCAACCGCATGTTTTTCCATTGTCTTAGTTCATGACTGTAGATGCGGACTTTTCCTTTTACCTTCCATTTTGAGTTTCTTGAACACAGCCGCTTGTAGACAACTAATTACAGAATATGAATATTCTAGAAATAATAATGATAAAGCAATAATAATAAAATAATGATAAAACAATACAAAAATCGTAAATAATAATAATCATAATCTTAATTAATGATCATAATTATCATGTGTAGCAGATTGCAGGTTAATCTTCTTTTCTGTCTTCTTGGTTCTCGCTCTAAATCCTGTTCCAGCACTCGAACGGCTCTTCGTTCTGCTGTTTCCGGTACACTGATTTAGTGCTTCCCTATGACCTTAACGGAGCTTCAACAGCCTCACTGTTCTCAGTTTGTTTTCATTTATGATTCCAGGCTAGTTTTTTTCCTTTCCTGCTTTCCTACATTGTGATGTGATCGACCACCTGACAGCTCAACCGCTCGACGACTTGGCAGAGCAGAGCAATTAATAACAATATTATATATAAATAGCACATTAAATCAAATATATCTGAAGTAAAATTTTTTTAATTATGAAGTTCCCTCTTCGTGCTTATGTTACATCAAGTTCAATTTTCAAAAAAATGTTTGAAAAATGTAGTACGGAGATATTGATGGGTCAACTTTACTCGCTTTTGGGCATTAAGACACCAGGAAAAATGCATCTAAAAAATTTTGATACAGGTCAAATAACGCGGTAAACCGAGATTTTTATTGGGGTCATCATTTTCCCTTTTTTCTTGAAACCATTTTTTGTAATTCTTCATTTTAGATATTATTTTATTTGCAACAATTCTTTTTGACTGAATGCTAATTTCATATTTCTAATTATCAGTAAAAGCATAAGAATATCAACTAAAGGCAGTAACGTAAAGTCTGAAAATGGAATTAGTTGAATGAAATTGTTCTTACTAGTTCATTCTCTTTTCTGTTTCTAACAATCGAAGTCGTAAACGTTTGAATCTTTGAATGAATATTTTTAATTGCAGTCATATTAAACTAAAACAAAACGGTACAGTTATAATGACAAGAAAAATTTTTCATTTTTAGGAGTAAACACCGTTCAACGGAAATGTTTCACTTCTAATTTTAAATTTTTTTTGGATTACGAAAAATATAAAAATTTGCAAAGCCATATTTGCAATAATTTTATATTTAAATCAAAACTATTTTCTTCTCTAAGTAATACGAAAACTTTCTCTTATATTATAGTGATTCTGTTTTTGAGTTAGAAACTACAAAAGAGCTCCATAAATTTTATGATTATACTTATGAGTCTTTCACAGCTGACTGCAATTAAACCAGTCGACTTATGCATATTTTATGAGGTACTTTTCCAATGGCCCGCGTCTTTACTGAGTTCAACTCAGGATGATTAATTTGATATGTTCACATTTGAGCATTTCTAATTTTATCTAGAACTATTCAGGATCGCTCCGCTGCCAATGAAGAATCAATCGAAGTCGTAATGAAAATGATTAATTGATGTTTTCTGGTCATTACTGAGAAATCGACAGTATCGCAACAAAAATGATAAAATATTACAACGGTGAATAATTTCATCTGATAAGGAGGAATACTGCGTTACTAAATTTATCGTATAAATTTATCAAGACAAATGGTAAAAAAGAGCTGCTCTATCAACAACACACTTTCTGTACAATTTATAATCCAATAAATCTTTCTATAATTTTGATTACTTATTTTCAATCATCTCACAAATGTATTTCTGAAAATCACTGCGATATACTCATCACTGGTAAATAATTTATTATCCAAAAATCAAGTGAACTAATCAAGCAAGGTAATTCATCTGAAATTGATCGCTTGCTGCTGAAATGCAAGTGATAAGAAGAGAAAAATCTCTTCGAAATATCACTGTTAACATCTTTTCATCTAATTAATTCTCAGCCTTCCGCATATCTCATATTCAAATTATCACGTGTTCTGAACTGCCCTCACATGCAGTGTCTAAAATTTACAACAAAAAATCTGATTGATCGCAAATTTAGTAAGAAACGAAAAACAATGAAAAAATATTTGATATAGGACTAATTTTCTCAAATGGTTGTTTCTTTGCTCTCAGCCATTCCATTCCATCATTCAGCAGTAACTGTACCGGAGCAAGTGATGATCTCGATTTTTCTTGTTCGACATTACAATTCGAGACGATCACAACTTGCAAAGTCATTTCAATCCTTCTTGTTGCATTCTCTCTCTAGTTCAACAATTCTACTACATAGCTTGACTTCTTCCTTGTTTGCAGCTAACAATTATGAATGACAAGTTCAACTACCCTCCATGCACATGCACCACGAAGTGAGCACAAAGACAGAACCCGCAACTCACTCCAAACAACCAAGACTTTGCATTATCAATTTTGTTTTCAACAAGCAAATTGGTGGTGAGGAGTCGAACCTCACGAAATTTATAACGAGTCATAAACTTCGTTTAATTCGGCCTCCTCAGTACAAATTTTATAACTTGCAGATTTGTCATTGTGTTCCTGTTATTTCTGGAATGCTAGCTAGCTAAAGTGCCGTGTTGTCTAGAAGAGAAATACATAAAGTACTTAAAATGACGATCAATATATGGTTTTTGTAATGTTAGACGAAGTGAATGTTGTTTAAATAATTTAATGTGGGCAAGTTCAAAACGTTTTTTACGTCTAACGTAATTCTCTAAGACTAAATTTGTGAGTTGCTTTGAATTAATTACTTAGAAGCAATTTCGATGTTTCTTCTTTTGCTTACGTACTCAATAAATTAATTGAATCTTGATTTGTTTGCTTGAAAGTGAGACTTACATTGCAAGTGGTTTATATTGGGATATAGTTATTACTGTTGAGAAAATAAGCCGGAAAAAAGTAAATACATTATTAATATCACACATTTCAAAAATGAGTACTCTATTTGCAATGAACTTTTGACCTTTGAAAAAAGTATTTCGTATGATGTGTAATTTCTTCATATCTGTTGAATGATTTCAAAAAAAAATTTGTACTAAAAATTTGACTTGCATTTATTTCCGTCACTTCTAAAAACATCAACAAGTGAAGTGATCATTGTTGAACATATGTTTGTTACTATTTGTCTTTTGTTTGCAGAGTTGAGATTTGTTTTCAGCAAATATTTTATATTTAGATTATTAGTTTGTTTACATTTATGTCATCGGATCTTGTGCATTGTAGAGTGTGTTATAGCTTCTTACTTTTTGTTTTTGCTGATCGCATAATAGTATCAATATATTTTCAGTACAATATAATACTATTTATATCGTTACTTTTAAAATTTGACGACTAAGCACTCTCAATTCGTAAAGCTGTATTATACTTTTTATATATCGAACATTATCACTATAAAAAAAATACACACTATTCCTGTTTAGCTTTCTCTGCAATGTTTCTCAACATATCTAACTATTTGAAATTATTTATTATTTTTAATACAGAAAAACAGTTGTTCATTTTTCAGTCATAGAGATTATGATTTTTAAGAGTTCGTGATGACCTCACAGCGCGCTTTTGACCCTGTGAAATATCGTAATATTTAATTGTTTGGAATTGAAAGAATTAAACTTTCTGCTTTTTACAAAGCAACAAATGTATTTTTCAGAGGCATTAAAGTAAACATTTTATTTTTCTTTCCAAGTAATATATTTAATCATCATTATTAATATTTTTAAGGTACTGGGAAGAGAAATGTTTTGTCGGGCTAAAAAGATCGTGTTATTAAACACCTTTAAGCACTTTAGGTATACTTATTACTAAGTATTTTTGGTAGTTCGTTGCAATGCAGTTTTACAGCAAAAATTTCAGTCACATATCTAAATTTTATGCAAAATCATAAGGCTATGAGGATTAGAATTAGATTATTATTAATGGTTTCATATAGAAGAATGCAGAATAAGTAGAGGGGAATAAGCTGTTTGTTACATTTTCAGAGATTAAAATTGCCAAGTTTGGTTCATTTAATGTCCATTTTATTGTGGTTGTTATTGTTTGCATTAGTGCTGCACTAAATACATTATTTAATTGAGTATTCGATGCATTTCTTTTACATATTTTTCGATAATTTATTTGCTTAATTTACATATTCTTGTTGTTTTCATGTGCTATAGCTCATAGTCTTGGAACATACACGTAAAAGCATTAGGATAAAGCCTTGTTCGTCGGAAAACAGTGAGAAATGTAGAATTTACTGGTAAGTGTAGATTCAGGACGATAATTCTATTTCGAATTTCATACTAGTACGTAGTTTTGATTATGAACATAAATCAATTTTCAATCTATCTTTTGATTTGTAGTTGTTACTGAAGAAATGATTGCATGTTTGCATTGGATGGTGCAAATATATAAATGAGAATATTTGTATAGTTTGTAATAATTTTATAAATTTGGGAAAATACGATTGGGTTATGCGTTTTGGACAAGAATATAGATGACGAAGGACTGTTAATGATTAAAATTGGCAAAGATGAATGATTTGTACAAATAGCTGTTATAAAATAGAGTATTATTTGTCTTGGATGAAAGTATTATTGAATTGCCTTCATTTTTATCTATCATCCATGATTCATATGTATAATTTTTTTGCTTCGTGCAAAAGCAGAGGAGAAAAAATGGATTTTTTCCCCAAAGTATAGTGGAATCTTATGAACAAAAATCTAAAGAATTGTCATTTCAGCCGACAAAATATACTTTTTCTGTCTATAGCTTTTAAACGGAAGTGAAAAGAACTCGCAGATTGCAAGAAAAATGTTTGTGTCAGAAATGTACTGTAACAATCGCTTTAATTCAACAATTACATGCAAACATTTCATTTTTAAGCAGAAAAATTCAGTAAGGCATAGCTCCGTTTTTTGTAATCTACGGTGGTAACATTAATGACAAGACTTATTGGCATATTTTTTAGTCTTTTTTTCATTTAAATATGTAACGGATGAGCTTACTGATAAAGTAAGACCTTTCTTCATAAGTACTTTATCAGTGAGTTTTTTTATAAGATCAAATGATGGAAGCAAAAGTTTGCGAAAATATTGCTGAGATTGCTGCTAAAATTATAAGTAACATAATAAGATTGATCATTAATTTACACGCTTGCATCTTATAGATAGTTATGAGTGTCAGTTTTGAAAATTTATGTTTGGATGTAGAATTATGAATTGTTATTCTCCAATTTCCATGAAAATTTATGGGTTTTAAATTTAATCTACCAAGCTGTGTTCGTAGTGATTTATATTAATTGAGAATTCTATTGCATCCGCCAGCAAGTTGTAAATTCGTTGTGTATAGTAGAGAAAGTAAGTTATTCGGTCAGGCATCAATAATATAAAGTTGTAGAGAGAAACTCCATATATTTTTTATTCCTATTTGAAAGAATATGCAGCTAAGAAAGAGAAAACGCTAAATGCACGTGAATTTTCATTATAAGGCTATTTTTCAGTGAGTATTATTAATAATCATTACTGTTGGTAGTAGACTGACAATCTGTTAATATTTTCTAATCTTACCATATTTTTTTATCTAAAGGGATTACATCTCCAATAAACTTAGATATTAGTTATGCTTAGTAGTTAAGAAAGTAGGGAAAAATTAAGCAAGTTTCAGCACTGTTAGAAATGCAACTTTATCTCACTGTTAACATTCTTGCTGTTGATTCTACAAATTTACTAAACTTGTATGTTAGTTGAATACTGATTAATTAAATATAAAGGCAAGTTTTGGATTGTTGATGGGAATTATTTTGTATACTATTGACAATTTTTAAATTCTCTTGAAGATCATTTGGTTGTTGAAACATTTTTGATTAATTTTTGGCAATCATTTCATTTAACAATATATAATCTAATGAAATTTATTGAGCTATTTCAATCCATTGTTTCATCTTCATAGTTCATATGAATAACAAAGGTCAAATGAATGTGTTTTTGTTATAGTTATGAATTGGTGATTGAATTTAGTTTTCAGCAGTTATATTAAAGACTAATGTAAAAAAATGCAGGATTATGATCGTAATTGATGCTGTCGGCAAAAGAATGGCTCGTAATACACGTTTACTGTCATCAGGATTATATGTATTTTTTGGTGTTTTGATTGGCTTTTCTCTGTCATTTTTACTGATTTCAAGTAAGTTGTTATTTTTTGATTTAATTTATCTTTGATATTACTTGTCTTTATCTGATGATAATGTATAATTTTTTATTGTCCATCATTTTAAAATATTGAATAAGAGTCTGAAACTTCATTTTTCAGTTGCATTCATTAGAAAAAGGAGTTGAAGATAACATTTCCAAAATATTGCTGCTGAATTGAATATTCCGTATTACTTCTTTAATAAAGAATCACTTTTCAGTCTCTTAGTATTTTTTTCACGTATAATATAACGTTTCTGCTCACTCAGAATGTGCATTTCAGCAAACTAATTTGTGACATGTTTTCAATCAAACGATTCTTAGGTCTCTGAATGTTGAACGTATTCATTATTGCCACTCTAATTTCTTGTGTTACAAAAGTTGCTACTTTTTATAAATACTTTGTTGTGAATGTTCGAAATCTTTTATAAAAATTTGTTTCATCATTTTTTTATCAGCCAGGTATGACGTAATTCCTTTGCAATCCACTGGATCAAATTATGAACATAAACGTTATTTCGATGCCCATGATGATGTGGAAGTAGACGATAGCTATGCACCAAGTGTTCCCTTATATTTCCATGACAATCTGACTAATGCTCATGAGGGTTCATTTTTGAATTGAATGCTTCGTATAGTTATGATAACTTTGTAAATTCACAAAAATAAAAAATAAGCTTTTATATTCCATACCATTTATAGATGATCAGAGCGTAGCGAAAATGTTGGAATCGAAAATACGAATTATGTGTTGGATATTGACAGGCAAACAGAATCATGAAAAACGGGCAAAGCACGTGAAAGCAACATGGAGTAAGCGTTGCTCGAAGTATGTTTCATTTATTCGTTAAAATTGATGTATGTAATCGTAACAAAACTTTTTTTTTTGGTGCACAAAATTGAAAAAACAGAAAATTTATATTGCTCCTCACATGCACATTGTTTTCAAGTTACAATTACGACCATTTTCTGTCCTTTAAAAGAATATAATTGATTGTAAAAGAGATAAAGGAGCGATGTCGATGATATTATACTCTTGTATTTAATTGCTCGTCCATACTGGAAATGATCTTCTTTGAAGATATTTCTTGTCTAAAAAAAGATACTGAATTCCGCTATAAGATTTGCTTATAATCAGTTACTGTCAAGATCCATATGAATAACTTCATTTTTTGAAAGAGATATGTGATTTACTTCATACTTTTTTCAATAGTTTTTTTTTTTACAGGTACATATTTATGTCTTCTAAAACAGACCCGTCGTTACCATCTATAAACTTGAATATATCAGAAGGTCGTAATCATTTGTGGGCTAAAACAAAAGCCGCATTCAAATATTTACATGACTTCTATCTTGATGATTATGACTGGTTTCTGAAAGCAGATGATGACACTTTTGTAATCGTAGAAAATTTGAGGTTGTTTTTACAAATGTTTTTCTTAAGTTTGCTTTGCCGGAAGTCTTATACAAAAGTATCAGGTTCTCACTTCATTAATCATAAATATTTGAAATATTAAAGGTAGGCATAAGAAATAATGAAGTAAAGGGATGAATGATAATATGTAAGATTTATAGTTGTGTATAATTTTCATGTCAGATTCATGCTGCTAGCTCATGATCCAAGTGAGCCTGTATGGTTTGGTTGTAAATTCAAGCCATTTACGAAGCAAGGCTACATGAGTGGTGGAGCTGGTTATGTACTTTCTAGAGCGGCATTGAAAAAATTCGTGAGAGAAGCACTTCAAGTGATTTTTTTATACAAAACATAGATTTTATAGAGCATAAAAAATGAATTAATGCGACGGTAGGAAAAAAATTAGTCTAATAGATTGTTCATTAATTCGTTTTTTTTTTTTTTTTTT